ACTTCTTTGGATAACTGCCTGAGTGTCTCTGCTCCCAATGCTTGGGTTCAAGGCACATGCATTCATGCCTGGCTAAGGCATGTAGGTGCTAAGATTCAAACACAGGTTCTAATATTTGCAGAGCAGTATTCTTACCCACTGAATCATCTCCGCAGTACCTGATTTTAACTTTAAATGCCATGGATTCAATTTTTTCTCATGACCACTTTCATTAACTATCTGGCAACATCATCTTTATCTGTATAAGGAATTTTCACAATAGCCTTGTATTTGGTAGATTCCTAGATTTTTCCATTGAAAATGTTATGAACTTAGTAGGTTAAAACAAAATATTTTTATTTTTTATATTTTATTATATTATATTATAATATTATATATAATATATATTATATTATATTATAATATATTTTATTATATTCTAGAATTCAATCATCGAAAATCAAGCTATCCAGAGAGGCATACTTTGAACCTCAGGGAAAGGCTCACTTGAATTCCACATCGATTCTGGTGGCTCTCAGCACATTCAGCTTCTTGTTACACTCTGATGAAATGTTAGTCTCTGTCTTGACTAGAACAGACTCACTCTTCTTATCTCTGTCCACCTTTCACCCTTCTGTAACAACAGTCATTAGCTCAGGCCCCATGCTAATTAAGAATAGCCTCCACCTGGCTATGTCTGTCAAGACCTTGTCTTGGTTACTGTTCTATGATTGACCAAAGGCAAATTCAGGAAGGACATATTTCTTGTCACACTTCATAAAAATGCACCCCATTGTTATGGGGGAAAGCATGGAGTCAATCTATTTTAGTCCATGACATTGACCAGGAAGCAGAGGAAAAAAAGAACATTATTGTTTAGTTGGCTCTCTCTCCTTTCCAATTTTATCAGCTCTAGACCCAAGACCATGGGATGGTGCTACTGACATGCAACAAGGGTCTTCCATCTCTGGATAAGCGCTTTCAACACACCTTCACTCAGTCCAATCAAGTTGACAATGATGATTAATCATTGTAGGCTCTACCTCTAAATGAGGTTATTTTCATAAATATCAGAGAGTTAAAACTTCAACATAGCTCCCTCTCCGTCTTCCCTGCTCCTGCTCTTGAACTGAATGCACGGTTCAACTTCTACAACTTCACACCTTGTCTCCCTGAACAGTCATTGAATAAGATGATTTCCTGTGCCAAACTGGCACCATCTTCAAAAGTTCAGCATGACCTGCTTGCAAAAGATTATCACAGCTGGGATTGTGGACTGTTAACTATTCTCTCATAGGCAGGGGTGAAGAGAGCCATGAGACCTTTTCTTGAGTATGCATCTATGCCACCCAGGCAATTGCATGTAATTCTGCCATAATTGCTTATGGCCACAGAGTCGTAGCTTGATTGAATAAAGTAGGAAAGACTAGGAAAAGGCACCCCGCCCCCCACCAGCCACACAGTAGTGATTATCATACAAAGTACAGACCTTCCAGTATGGTTGCTTTGGGGTCACCCAGGTTTTTGTCAGAAATCCCTCACCTGTTCCCTGCGAGTAACCCTAAAAACTCACTCATTCCCTAGAATGAAATTTGGTGAAATCTAACTTTGGCTTGTTATTGAAGCCTTCTAGGGGGTTGGGGCAGACATTGCCTTGCTCCATGCCAGGTTAAATGTTCTCACATCAGTTATTCAGCTAATATCAACTGGACTGTAATTATTTCCCATGTAAAATGGAATAATGGAACTCAATCTCTCCAGTAACGCTCCATTTCCCTTGAAAAGAATCAAATCCCGAAAAGGATGAAAAATTCATGCTGAGTTCCCAATGCCAGCATGCTTCTACCCTCACCAAGGGCCATACTCAGAACTAATATCCCAGGGACTCATTCAGTCCCACCTACATTGAGTCCCTTTTTCTGAGGTGCACTGCATGGAATATTTCTACTCTGTTCCACTTAAGTGGGATGCCAGTCCATAACCTCCATGGACTATGATTTGCTTCATTACTTAAATGTTTAAATACCCCTTGGTAGAGTGGTGCTGTTTCTGATACTGCCAGAGAAATTAATACTGCTCTTTCCTCTGCTTTACTTGGCAAAATATTACTGAGCAACAAATTCTTGTTTGTGATTTTTTTTCCTAAATAGACATCTCAAAACATCATCTTATTTGTTTATTTGCTTTACATTTGATACCATCTCCCAACACACACACACACACACACACACACAGGCACGCACACAGTGTGGCTATGTACAGGAAGTGTGGGATCTTACAAGATGAAGGTGACATAGGGATGCCACTCAATTTTTTCATTATAATTTGCAAAAGAGTAAAAGCATGACTCAGAGAAATTTTTAATTTTCTTTTTTTTTTCTTTTTTTTTTTAAGATTTATTTAATTATGTATACAGTGTTCTGTCTGCATATACACCTGCAGGTCAGTAGAGGGCACCAGATCTCATTACAGATGGTTGTGAGCCACCATGTGGTTGCTGGGAATTGAACTCATGACCTCTGGAAGAACAGCCAGTGCTCTTAATTTCTGAGCCATCTCTCCAGCCCCCAATTTTTAATTTTCTAACTAATGAGGGAGCTAAGAAGAGATGAGAAAACATATCACACCCCCATCTTCTCCAGACCTTCTCAGGTCTTCAGACTGCCAGGAAGAGCAATAATTTGCATCTTTGAAGAGGGAAGAAATGTCTGCATTGCCACCACCCCTTCAGAAGTTAATGTCTATCTCTAGAAAGATGCAAAACACAGCTGCCAAAGGCAATTCAAGTTGCACACACCATAACCCAACCCCTGAAAAACACTCCAGATAATGTCCAGCATTCCATGAAAATTAGTACCAATCATCTTTTCTGACAATCTAAAAATATGAATCATGTGGGATTTACTGGGTAATATGCTTCTTCTGGTAATGATTGCTTGGATGATAGGGAAGTCCATTTAATGAAAGGTAATTTAATATTTTATATAACAAGTGTAAATGCTCAGTGGAATGACAGTGGAAAAAATGACAAAAAATTATTTTAGTGGAGGTATGTAGGATGACTTCTTAAAGTTGCAAAAGTGAGAAGAAGATAGCAGGCAACAAAATACATCTAGAAATGTTTTGTGGAATGCCAGAGAAAGAGCTCAGTCAGTAAAGGGTTTGCCATGCAAGTTGGAAACCTGGGGTAGCTCCCTAACATCCATATAAAAAGCCTTGCCCAAGGCTGAAACTTGTAATGCCAGCACTGGAGTTGCAGAGCTAGTTGGATCCCTGGGCTCATTCACCATCCTATCTAGACTAACAGATGAGCCCCAAGTCCAACTGACAGACCCTGGTTTAAAAATAAGTGGAACAGCTCCTGAGGAATATCTAACTTTCAAGGTCAACCTCTGGCCTCCAAATGCATCTACATGGACAGGCATTTACATGCACATACATTACCTCACACATGTACAACTGTGCCCAGATTAGGGGGTGGGGAGAAGGGAGAGAGGGGGGGAGAGGGAGAGAGAAATGTAGGGATGCAAACCTGGTTTGGGTATAGGAAATTTAAATGATTTAGGAACATTTGTCTAAAGAACATTGGTCTTGCCCCTGCTCCCAGAAGGACAGACTCAGAAGGACAAACATGGTATGTACTCACTCATAAATGGATACTAGATGTAAAGCAAAGAATAACCAGACTACAACCCACAGCTACAGAGAAGCTATCTAACAAGGAGGAACCTAAGAGGGATGCATGGATCACCCTGGGAAAGGGAAAAAGATGAAATCTCCATGAGTAAACTGGGAATAAGGAGGGCAATGGAGGGTAGGGATTTGGGGATGAGAACAGAGTGGGAGAGCAAGGAAAGAGATGCCATGTGTGTTTGTCAACTGTAGTGTAACTCATTAATATAATTTCACTAGTATATGTTTAATGTCTTACTTAAATGAAATACTGAATGTTAAAGCTCCTACAATATTTGCAGTAAGTCTTGAGAATTCACCACTTTGTAATTTGTTAATCACTATTTCAATTACATAATATGTATGTATGCTCATGCACACACACACACACACACACACACACACACACACACACACACAGGGGTGATTATGTTTTACTAGATTTTACTTTTTTAAACCAAAAAGCATGATGTTTGTTCAATGTTGACAAAAACGTAAATCACTGAGGTCATTTCAATCATTTAGTCCACAAACACACATGTTTGCAAAGGTTGGTTTTTCTATATTGATTTCCAGCAAGCCAAACTCCAACTAAATGCTTCATTATAATTGCATCTGAACAATTGAAGTTCAAGTCATGTTTCTGATCTTTGATTTAAATTTGCTTCCTTTACTCACTTGGATTTTGTAAAAATTAAACAGTGATTTTTTTAAATATCCCTTATGTAGCTTGACATATTCTAAGCAGATAGACCTGCACTCTAAAAATGCACATCCAAAGCTAACCTTTTGAAAATTCACACTGTACTGAGGACATCATAAATGATTCACCAATGACAGACATAGAGGTAATTTTTATGACCTGAACCATGAATAGCTCTTTAGTTCTTGATTCGAGTGACTACTTTTCACTACACTGAGCCACGAGTTTCAAAAATAAACCTTCTGCTGATAAGGAGATTTACAGAGAACAAAAAATCCTGAGTCAACTATTTATCTGGGACCAAATTCTGTGAACTAAGCTTAGTTCAAGCAAGAGGTTTTCTAAGCAGTTCATTTATTTTAATATGGTACAAGCGTTTTGGAGTTACACTGTAGCTTATGTTCACAGGGCTTTGACAGAAGAGGAGGGGAAGGCCTGGAGGTAACATTTCATGCATTCTTGGAGATAAGAATTGAGCACCCCCTAGAAGCCAAGTTCTGTGCGCATGCTCTGGGGATGCACAGGCCAATTATAGAGGAAATAAAAGCAAATGCATTGATCATGTTGTTACGACAAGTTATCACACGAGATGGAACACTATAAATGCTACAGGAAAAGGGACAAATGTAAACATTTTTTTTTCCAGAAATTCCAAGGACAGATGAAGTACATTGTTTTTCAAGGAAAATGAGGAAGACTTCATGTAAATTGAACAAAATGGTATTTCTCAAACTTCTGTGCTGGGGGATGTCTTTCTGTATGCTGTGAATACATGTTCCCATTGGTTAATAAATAAGCTGCTTTGGCCTATGGCAAGGCAGCTTAGAGGCAGGTGGGAAATCCAAGGAGGGAGCCAGGAAAGGAGCCAGGAGTCTAGAGATACACCAGCCTGCCACCCAAGGAGCAACATGCCAGCAAACCGGTATAGCCACAGAACAACAAAACACAGATGAATAGAAATGGGTTAATTTAAGATATAAGAACTAGCTAGCAAGAGGCTTGCCATAGGCCATGCAGTTTGTAAGTAATATTAAGCCTCTGAATGATTATTTTATGTGGCTGTGGGACTGCAGAGCCAGGTCGGGTGGGACCAGAGAAAACTTGAGGCTACACTTCTGCATGCATAAAAGATGCCTGGGAAGCTTGTTGAAACTGAAATTTTGGGACCATCCTAAGAGATTTGGACTTAAAAGACCACCATATCTCACCAGTATCTCAGCTAATGGATAGTACCCTAATGACTACATAGCATTTAGAGTATGTTCTAGTACTTTCCAAGATAAATACCATTGAACAGACAGTGGCAAACTAGCTGGAGTTACCTGAAAGGACTGGTAGAATAAAACAGGGCGACAGGAAGGTGGGAATACCTTCTGATATCTGTGGGTCTTTGGAATCCCTGGCCATTCCTACCATAACCAACTTAACCAGCAATGCTTTCCTGGTGAGTCGTTCTACGGACTTCCGATGAGGTGATCGGCCACAGAACCAACTTATCTTATACACAAACCATCCCAAGATTGCCCCTCATTGACGAAAGTTATATTAAGCTTCAGCAAGTGGTCCTTGGATTGCAGGCTCATCTAAACAGCTATGGGACTCCGGAGGGAAAGCGTCTTCGCTGTAATGCTTCAGAGGAGAACAGAAAAGTAGAAGCTAAGTTTGGAGCAATACAAGGGCGTATGGGGGCCTGCAGCTCTGCTGTTTTGTTGATGCCAGAAAGGCTCCTCTTACCTCCCTTTTTGGCAGCCAGTGGGCACTACTCTCTGATAATATGCATCAATGTTTCTTATATCCAATTGAACGTAATTGGTAGTGTCCTGTGATCTGAATGTTTGATTAGACATAAACTCAGATTCCCTCATTTACATTTTATTATCCTTCGCATTCCTACTTTACACAGTCTCTGCCTTCGCTTAACATTTCAAGCAGGAAGGAAGCCTCATCATCTTTATTAGTGACACCACATGGCTATGTCAGCAGACTCTGGGGGTAGGATGCAAGAGAGAACTCGGTATGGTTGCTAAGCAATACAGCACACCAAAGCAAGCCAGCAGCAAATGAGAATTCGTAAATGCCCATCACCACACAAAGCTTGCAAGAGTGGAGATCACGATAGCCAAGGTATGATACATGGAAGGGACTAAAAATCAAGGAATGAACAGCACCTCAGAGGCTGAGAGAGAAGGATATGAGGGCTACAGCAAAGGGCAATCTTACAACAGCCCGTAGAGTACCATTAAGCCTGATCCAAAATGGGATGCCAGAATTCAAACCAGCTGTGCTATAAGAACACGGAGAAACTGGTGGTGGCAAGAAGGCATAGAAACTGTGAAGTAGGAAACACAGATAATTCATACAGTGCTTCCCACATGGCACCTCAGGGCGACCTGTTAAAGAAATTTCTGTAATATGGAAAGCAGATTCACGTGGACCTTACTATAAATATTAATTTAATTGCTTAAGTTTTATAAATACTTGCAAAAATAATGAAAACTCAAAGCATTATACCCATATTTTTTTTTCTTTCCTGTCATATGCTTCCATCACTGGCATCTTCTCACTACAACTTCTACTTACTAAAAAGTAGCCCTCTGCATGAACAAGACTGGGACAATGGCTATCTCTATGGGTGTTTTAATGTGGAAAGAGGAAAATTGTCATATATATACTTGTGAATACACATACATACATCCCCACACATACATGTATACAACAATTACACATAATAATCAAATGGAAAAAAAAAAGGCTACCAACTTGATGGGGGGACTAGAGAAGGGTTCAAAGAAAGAAACTGGGGAGGGGGGAGATAGAAGGAGGAAAAGGAGGGGGAAGTGATGTAATTCTATTTCAATAAAAAATTATTTAAAAAATAATAAATGCCACCATATACGAATGGGGGGGGGTAAAGAAAAGCTCACAAAGTATTTGTCCTTATCAGATTATAAAGAATTAAGTGAAATCTAGCAAAAGCTTTTCTCTAACTTATGTGTGTAAGTCAAATGAATCAGACGGAATCCCAAGCTCTGACTTAACTTGTTCCTGTGTTCTTAGTTAGGGGAGTCTGCTCCTCTACCTTCCTCACGTCAGCTTCACACCTGCCTCTCCTCTAAACTGACATTCTACAGCTCAATTTACTCTAAAGCTGTCGTGTGGGATTGAGCCTTCACACAATTTGTCTTTTCTCAGCAGTGGACACAGTAAGTATTGTATGCCTTTCTGTACCGTTTTATGGCTATTTGTTTCACGTGCAATTGTCTTTTACCAAAGCAGAAAAACTTCTTTCAGGCTAAGTGTCTGCTCTATACCTTTTTAATGTTATGAGTGTCTTATGCAGGCTGCTTGAGTACACTATTATCAATAAATGTTACTATTCATTAGTCCCTCAGTGATTGTAGCTAAGACTTGTAACATTTAATGGATACTAAAGAGCATAGTAGAGGTATGAGAACCAGATAACTATACTTCCACCTGAGCCCTTTTTCATATTAAAATATCAAAGAATGAAAGCCTGCCATAATTTTCTACAGCCAGCCGAAGATCTTACAAAGAATTCCAATGTCATAAACGGCATTATTTCCCTGACAGATTTAGATTTAGGCCATGAGGAAGATACTGTGTTTTTATATGGAGATAATTTTTAGAAGGCAGCACACATGCAAAATCAAGTATATGAGAAGCTGGTGGAATATTAAATGGAAACTGTGCTCTTTCTTTTCCTCCTTAATCACAGAATATCCATCCACTGTGAGCAAAAATCCCTTCAAAGAAACCATGGATACTTTATCTAAAATTATGCCTCTTGGTTAGTTTAGTGGCTCAACTCAAATTTGTCTCTCCCTTGTGCATTTTGCAACCTTTTGGCAGGTTTGCTGTTAGAAAAGCCAAGGAGCATTCAAATCGCACCACAGTAGCACTCATTTATCATCGGCAGGCAAAGGTTCCACACTGTAAATGAATTACTGTAATAGGTGTGTCGGGAAATAGCATCTTCTCACCCCTTCGTCTTCTACTTTCTTCTCCAAGCAAGTCAATGCTGATAATAAGTGTTGCTTTAACGTGATATTTCTCGACAAATTAAAGGGATGGAGTGAGTTTTAAGGCTTTAGGTTTGTAATATTTTAAAATGATTAACAATTACCTCTGGTTATGCCTCTAAAGCTCTTCTTGCTCTATGTGGGGTTTGCTTACAGTGAAAAGCTGTCGGTTTCCCGACTGGAGGGTAGGGGCTTCTCAATCAGGGGGACGGTGTTGTCAAATGATATGTCAATGTCATTTGTCAAATGTCAGAAGCAGATAACTTGACCCTTGAGAAATTTGTATTCTAGCTGGGAGATTAAGTACATGTATGTAACATACCAAACAAATGTAAAGTAAGGTTTCTGCACACTGGAAAGGATACAGTTTAAAGGGAATTCAAAAGGACAGAAAAGCAACTGTGTCAGTTGATGTCTAATATAAATGATAAGATTTCTAAAGACCTAAGTTTATTTAAATGTATTTGAAAGCATAGAGAGGAGATACTTTCTACTCTCATATTATAATTGTAGGGAATATTTTAGAGTAAAAAATAGATTACAATGACTTACTGGGAAGCCATGTGTATGTTGTATTTCTGAGTTATCTTGACTGAAGTGATCAGAAACATACAAGTTCAGGGTTTGTCACCCTGTTACTTCAGTTCCTTTGTTGAACAAAGAAAGGTATAGCACAGTTTAAACAGAGACATCCTCCTCAAGTAAATCTCATATAAGCAGAGCTAACCAGTGGGTATACCTATCTAACCAAGTGGGAAGTCACTGCTCGGCATCAGAAACCAGATAACAATGTCTAGAAAAGAAATGAGGTTATCTCGTGGTGTTTGTTTGTTTGTTTTCCAAGACAGGGTTTCTTTGTATAACATCCTGACTGTCCTCGAACTTGCTCTGTGGACCAGGCTGACCTGGAACTCACAGAGATCCACTTACCTCTGACTACCAAGTATTGGGATTAAAGATGTGTGCCACCACCATTCCACTTTGTCTTATGGTTAAAATGAGGATAGTTTGGGATCATCATAGAGATTAGAAAAAGAGAACAATTATTAAGGTGCATGGAAAAATCAAATTCCAAAATTCCTATCTGAAAAAAAAATTTACATGAAAAGAATATTAAGTCCTTGACTTTTGTTTTGTTTTTTTTTTTAATCTAACTAACTGAGAAGGATTCTAAGTTTAACACACAGGGAGTTCAATTGCAAACTCTTTGTAAAAGAACAAACAGATTCTCAAAATCACCTCAACTAACCAGAAAAGACAATTGAGGTTTTTTTTTCCCAATTAATTCAAATAGATTTTGATATGCCCCCATTGTACTCAAGAGTACACATGGTGTCTACGTAGTGAGGTAGCTGCTGAATCTTTGCCACTTTTTACTGTGTGTGTGTATGGGCTTCAGTCTAGTTCCCATTTCAATTCCAGCTATTTATATTACCACATTCCTGTGTGAAAAGTAAGAATTTTTTTAAAACCAGTAATCTGAATAAGTTAATTTTAAGAGACTGAAAATATTGCAACATGTAGCATACGGTTTATTTTTTTTCCCATGTGGAAGTAAGCTTGTTTAAAACTTGTATTATCGGTGTCCAGTTCCTTTTTTTCCATCCACTCTCTTCTAACAGAAACACAGACACATGGGCACACAAACTCACACTCGCATGGCATTCCGCATCCACTAGGCACTCTGTTTGCTCATTGCCCACCATTTGAACAGGACTGGAGTAAATATTTGCATCCAGAGTTCGTGTTTATCACTGGAAACATTCCATTTACTCCTCTCAATTGTTTCATTCAAATGACACTGGAAATATTTGGGTCAAGCAAACACCAAACTTGCGGATGCCCGTGAAATATATTCATAATTTACTTCAATCCCTGCCTGCAGTGATTCCCACAGCACTTCTGCATATCCTGTCGGCTGAAATCCAACACTTTGTTAAATATGGAAAGCCTATTTGTGCTAAATTCCGTGTGTGGTTGTGTTTTATACTAACAGTGGAATGGACCCATTCCGATTAAGGTTTAGATTCTGGAATTTCTCATCGATCTGAGGTCACCAAGCCATTCCTTCCCTTTCTCATCACTTGCTCCAATTCTTGGGTAGACATGAATTTGTCCTATATGTCTCAGCAGTGTGAGTCATCGTAAAATTCTGGTAACTTAATAAGATCGTTTAAGGAGGAAGGTCTTAATGCACAGAAAATTTTCCTTTCTCTCATGAAAGGAGGTTAAGCACTAAATCCAATGAAGAGAATTAACTACAGGGAGGAAGATACACAAATGGGAAACTAGCAAATATAAGATAGAGATACGAGTTTTGGTTATTAGACATGATTCAAGAGTTAGCCAATAGATGATTGGCTTCTTCCTAGCTCAGTAAACTGTCCCAAAGCTAACAACATCTGTAACTCCCCTTGAGCTGAATAAAACGATTAATTTGTGTTATGAAAGCGCCAATTAGCTGAAGATTTTAGGGAAGGAAAGCACATTTAAAAGTCCAGAAGAGGCCAGAACTAAAGAATTGATGTATGAGCTTCAAGACTTGAGAGCACAGCAAAGCATCTTCAGTGTACCTGGGTGTCCTTTGAGTCTTGTTGGACAGTTTCAGGAACCCATGTCATCTTCTGTTATTCGCACTGATACCAAAAACAGCTCAAAACCTTCACTATTCTTTGCATAATATCGAGTGAAAACACAGTAACTGTTTCAGAAAATGAACATGCCCAGTGGGAAGTCATGAAAAAGAAAAAAGAAAGGAACGTCAAGTAAAAAGGAAAAGAACTAAAGGAAGGAACCGTCTAAGGTGGCAATAATGTGGCTGTGTGTGATGGTTTGTGGGGTGCTTATCTCTCTGCTGTAACACATCATATCTGAGCTCTGATTTCCAACACTTTCAACATGAGCTTCACCCACCTCCAGTAGGCTGGGTTTTGTTCCATAGAGCAAAGGTCACTGAATGAAGTCTCTCCTAAAGATCCATCCAATATATCATAACATAAGCAGAGGTTGTAAACTTCCTGATGGTAGTAAATGTGGATAGAAGACAACAGAGAAGAATATGAGAATACTGCTCTTAGAACACAAGGAAGATGAGACATTTACATAGGTGTCACCAAACTACTGTGAACTTTTTTTGGAGTAGTGACCTATCAGGGTAGGCAAGTCAATTGATCAAATGACCTACTTTTTACTATCATGTTAAATGAGAGTACATTTTTTGATTCTGTTTTTCATGGCAAATTTTAAACAATAACAACTGCTTAGAGTTTTTAAAAAGCAGTGCTGCTGATGAAATTCTATAGCCAAATCTGCAGTTGCGTTAGATGCCTTTGACCCCGGGGCTCTTAACACTAACTGTATGTTGGAATGCTCTGTGTATTTTACAAATGCTATGACTCAGACCTCACACCAGAGGCTGGTTTGTTGGTTTGGAGTCTAATCTTTGGTCCAGAAACCAGTATGTAATGGAAGTCAGTCAGCTAAATGTATGAGAATCAGGAGCTGGGAATCACTGTCCCTATCAAAACCAAAGTGCATTCTATGTGAACAGCCTACAGATGACCTAAGCTGATACTCACTAAAACAAACCACCAGGGGCCTTCTAGTAAATATGATAGCCATGTGTTGTGGAATATTAGCTGAAGATGTGTTACATTTGTTTATGCTGTGGAATATTTGTTTAATGATGCAAAGATGTGTTGCATTCTTTTGTGTTGCATTTCTTTAATTCTGTGAAGCTGTGTTACTTTGCCTGTCTAAAACAACAGATTGGTCTAATAAAGATCTGAATGGCCAATAGCTAAACAAGAGAGGGAAAGAGGTGGGACTGGCAGGCAAAGAGGAGAGAGGAGAGAGAAAAGGAGAAATAGAGGAGGATGCCAGGGGCCAGCCACCCAGCCACTCAGCCACACAGCCACACAACCACACAACCACACAGCCACTCAGCCACATAGCCAGCAACAAATTAAGAAGTAAAGACAGACATATAGAATAGAAAAAGATAAAGGCCCATGGTAAAAGGTAGATGGAATAAACTAGTTTACAAAAGCTGGCTAGAAATAAACCAAGCTAAGGCTGGGCGTTAATAAGTAAGAATAAGTCTCCATGTATTTATTTGGGAGCTGGGTGGCAGACCCACAAAGAGCAAAGAGTAAAGAAAACATATACAGCCATGCTTATTCTCTATTTCTGATACTTTCCTGTAGTTATTTTCTGATGAGTGAGTGGTGGTTCTGTAGCACAAGTACCAGTTGAACAGATATACAGGTGTGTGCATGTGTGCGTGTGCGTGTGTGTGTGTGTGTGTGTGTGTGTGTGTGTGTGTGTTATCAATGTGTTGCTGGAGATACCTTTGAGTATACATGTAAAATTCATGACCTACTAAACACATAAATATATACATATATGTAAACACTGATTATCTTTTCTAAGAATACTCCTATATATAGCTGGGTAACATACTTCCTTACCCCATGGTCATGACAACAAAGAAGTATGATTGTCCAGGCAGAGTCAGTTCTTACATTCCTGACCAATTCTTCGAAAGAGAACAATCCAGAGGCATTGGAAAGTGTGCTTAGAGTACTGCCTGTGAGCCGTGATTATGTATATTTTATGTTCTGTTGTTATTGGAAACTGTTCTTGAGACCCTGGGAGCCTGACAGCCTGATGAATGCCGGAAAACCTATTAAAAAGCAATCTGAAATGCATTTCAGGTGAAATCAGTTTTACCAAAGTGCAGATGACTTCATTCATCCTAAAGATATAATTAGAGTGGAGACTGAATTGGTTTTTCTCTTTATACAATATATTACAAATATAGACTTTCTTATTCCAGCATCAGCATGTGTATTTCCTTTAAAAAATCCCACGTCAGAAAGAGCTGTATATTCACAGCTCTCCAAATGGGCTCTCAGATAAAACAGAAGCACAAGAAAGACGTTGAAGGTGTTGTTTTTCTTTGACTTCTCTCCACATGTCAGACAATTAAGACAGTGATGAATTACACATTACTGTACAAAATTTTATTATCAGAGGCAAAACTCAAATTTGTTCTGCTTAAGGTGAGTAGACAAATTTTCTCACTTAGAAAAAATTTTTTTTTAGTATTTTATCAGGAAAGAATAAAAATTTCATGTTGAATACAGAGATTCAATTTCTACTGAATAACCTACAAGTTGTACCATAGAAAACATTTATTGGCTAAACTAACATGAGGTTATTTGGAAAATGCTTTAGAACTTGTGTTTACTACGAGATCAGTAATGTTTTAATTCCCAAACCATAAAATATTAGAAATGAGAAAAATATGCTTCCATATGGCATATGCTAAGTAAGTCTGGTGTAGTGGTTTCAGGTAAATACGCTTTGTTACTGATCAAGGCTGTTTATTAGGAAGAGTCCTACAATGTAATATTTAATTATCTGATAAGTTTACACTTGGCCAGACAGCCCAAGATAAAATCTCAAAGGTAAAATTTATTTTACTGTTTAAGTAACTGAAAAATGTGTAAAACAACAATGATAATGTGTTTTTGATTTATAGCACTTATTTGTTGTCAAGGTTTATTAAAATTTTAAAAGGAGAATAAACTATAGCCATGAAAGACTGCACACATATTAATATATGCCAATATACAGGTGTGATTTAAAAGTTGATTTGAGATTACCATTACACAATACTGTAAAATCTAGAACAAAACATTTGAGAAGCAATTCATTTGAAAAACAGTTTTCACTTGAGAAATGACAGTTTAAAAACCTATTTGAGAGAAAACGAGGAACAAAGAATTTCTAATGATTTTCTCACTCAGTGGGTTGCACACTCCATGGAGGTGGTGGCAGATCTGTACATAAGACTGAGTGCAATCCCTTGAGCCTTGCAGGGATGATTAACAGAAAAGAAATGCTCTGCACATTTGAGGCAGGTGTTCTGAACTCCCCTATTATATTTCCTACAAAACACTTTGCTCTTTCATTTACTTACATGACATAAGAAAAATGTGTGCCATTAGAAGCAAGTTGACCTGTAAAGAGGTGAGTCAAAGCAGTTAGGTTAAACTGTATCTACACACAGCAGGGCCGTTGGAAACTTAACATCGAGTAAATTAAGCAGTGCGGTCCATCTATCGTTCTATGCAGAAAGAGAGAACATTTTCTGATCTCTTTGCTAAGCAGTGGAAACGTTCTGGGTAGCTTACTAGATCTTTTCCACATGCAGACAAGTTCAACCTCAACTTTGTGAGACATTGCTGAAATGCTTTGCAATGCATCCTTTTTTTTTCCACTGATTTTTTTTTTTCATGGCTCATTGGCCGAGTGCCTGTTAATTACTTGTAGTTTAAAGCCCTCACAAACAAAATGCAGGATTTTTGTGAAGAAAATGTTTTTAGAAAACACATGAAGTAACCTTGGTAATAAATCAGTGATAAGCCAAATGGCACCAATTAACACTTATTTCAAAGAAGTCCATAACAATGAGAGTGTGAGAGACAGGAAGTACTCAAATCTCCCACAGAGTCTGCATGGATAATGTCTCAAGCTTGACAGAACCATAGAAGTGATGGGTTTGCATCACATAAAGCTTAGGTTTACGGTTTTGAAGCCCCATTAATACTAGTAATTCATTTTAGAAACCAGTGTCTTTTAGCCTCCATCCTCTCAATGATTGATTAGAATTCCTAACACTTCACCGGGTGTCTGGAGTTTAATAGATATGCACATGTTTACATGTTTAATCCTTCCCTCCAATTGCCAATTTAAGAAAAATCTGAACAAAATGAAACCCACTTTCCTCTTTGTTACTGCATCAGTATATGAACTAGGAATAACAGAAAGATAGATTCTTCAAGGAGATTTGTGTTCAACATAAAAGTCTTTAAACTGTGGATTGTGAAATCTATGCAAAAGTCACATGACATACAGTAGCTGAATAACCTAAAACAAAACAAAACAAAACAAAAACCTTACGGGCTAAAAGTATGCAGCGATGTATATGAGCATCCTAACCTGAAAACCTGTTTTTAATGACTCCTTTAAATATTTTCTAAAAGCTTTGTAACTTTTCTTATTTAAACTTTAAAACAAAATTTCATGTCGTAAAATTGAAAGCAAAAACGGGTAGAGTGCATGTTTGTTAGACTTTTATTGAATCCATCCCAAAATGAAATAAAATATTTGATTTTAAAACCTGCTAATTAGTTCAAGGCAGTGAAACTGAGGGCTAATTTTATATAATTAAAAAGTTGAAAATTTAGCATAGTTCATGAGAATATTTTCATACTCAAGTTCACATATACTAATTTGATGAAATAAATTATTGCCAAGATAGGAATTGCTGAACCTGCTTGAAAGAATAAATAAATTACCGAAAGTCAACAAATGAAGCTAACATCATTTTGGCAAATTTGAGATACTTTTACAAGAGGCTTTTCTTTTCTTTTACAAACAACTTTTCTGAAGAGTAGCAACATCACTCAATTGCACAAACAGCTTTTCTCAAAGATAGAGTCTGTCCCAATTTTGATTTCAATTATTATTGTTTAAATGTTATGGCATTATTATACTTTTGAAATCTTATGTATTTCTAAAAATACAAGCATTGTGAAATCAAACAGTGAAAATTATCCACATGTTTTGGAACTAGTACAGAAAATAGTTGGGTTTCATACTTAAAAATGATCAAACTTCTCTTCTATACCATGGGATTCTGTTTCATGTTGCCTTAATTCCAACTGGTTCACGGGTTCTTTACATTTTTCATGTGATCATTTTTAGATCCATTTCCACCATCTTCCTTTCTCTTACTACATGCTCAGTTATTACTATCTATTCAAGAAACCTTCTTTTAACTCAATTGAACTCTAACAGCACGTAACTACCAGTATCAGATGATAATACAGTCACGATCTCTGCTAAAGGAAAACATGCTATGGAAGTCTTGCCTTCTCATCATCTGTTCTGTGACTACTTGTATGTGATATTTATGGATAAGTCACATGAGCATTCACAAAATTATTTGAGCTACATTCTTCAGCCTCCTAGAAGACAATTTTTTAAATATTTAATTAGCAGTGAATTTGAAGTCAGCGTGGTGTTGAATGCTTTGTTATAATTTATCTATTGCATCTGATACAGTGCCAGAGTTCCACAAAATCATTTGTTCACAAGCTAGTCTCCACAGATGTATACACATTTGACTGAATATTGTTTTCAACTATTTAGATCATATAGCCTCCTGTGTGTATTCTGACCATCTGTAACTGTTATCTCTTTCTACTATCAGAAGTGGGTGTTGAAAGTAAAGCAAAGCATCCCAGTCTTAAGGTTTCATTTAAACTATGTTCAATAACAGATCTGCAATGGGAAACGTAACCGACAGACTTAATTGTGTGTCCCGATATTTGACTATTTACACTGGCCAAAGTAAGTGGTGGTTAACATGTTCATCCAGTAGTTTGAAATCACACAAATCTGAAATATAAATGTTAAAGGTGATAGAGCAATCGTGGATGTGTTCAAATATATATTCTGATGTTAGTCTAGAACTTGTGAAGTCTCAAGCTAACGAGATAGATAGATAGATAGATATAAATTAACAACACCGCTGTATGTTAGTTGGAGACCATCTATGTTGAGAGATTTAGATTATATCATAACTGGGGTTTTGAAGGTGTGAATGGCTATTTTCAACTTCATTTCATCTTCAGGAAGAAGTCAAACATGCATTGTGTTTCTGTGAAGAATCAAATCAGCATGTGTCAAAGTTGTTGATAATGGAATGAGTTTTAGAAATTCATGGCATAATATGAATAACCTTGTAATATTTTAGTTATACATATGTAAACTGAAATATCAGAAAATCCGAATATAATATATTTATCTTAAAATCATATGAAACAAAGGAGATTAAGGCTCAGCAAAAGTGCATGCTAATGAATTTCAAAAAAAAACAAAACATAGCCAGTATTACAGATGTCAGCCTTCTAAGTTTGAAATCATGTAGTTTTTAGAACTTCAAAGACTGTAAAAAAAAAATTTATGGGAAAATGTGTAAAAATGGGGAGAACATTTTATTTACAAGTTACTTGGAGATAATGAATACCCAAAGTGGCAAATAATCTAGTATTTTCTAATTAAACCAAAGTTTTGCTGTTATACATATATTGGCACAGGAAATTCTTGAGACTAGATGATGAAAACTTTCAATATGTTGTTATTTCACATAGATAATTGATTTGTAAAACACACAAGAGAGAAAGATAAAAACTCTAAGTAGAAAATATAATTTTATAGCTACATTTTACAGAATATTCCAAGAGATATCATTGGTTATTTTATTATTTTGAAATATTACTTATTTAAACAACTAAAAAGAACCTTTAAAGCCCAATATAATTTCAACATTGGGAAGGTTAAAGAACTGAAATATGTGTAGAGCAAAAATGCCATCTCAATGCCATTGGTACCACTATATTGTTGAACAAGTATTGTATGAGGTATAAACATGGTACATAAGGATACACTGAGGATTTAGATTATAGCTAAACCAGTTGTGTTAAAGGCCACTAAAATACTCAAAGAGGATTATGACTATTAATAGCAGGGGGGAAAAAGAACTCAGAAAGCCCCCAAATTCAAAGCTGGAAATGATGACTCACTTAAAATAAAAAGCCATTACTCTGAATTTTTAGTACTTGAGGAAACAAAACAAGACATCTATATCTATGGATAGATGTAGATGTCCCATGAATGAATTTACCAGTGGTATAATGGATATTTGGGGACTTCATGGCTGTATACTATTTATGAGTATTATGTTTAAGAACTTGCTCACTTCTAATAGATAACCTAAATTTCAGATTTCATACTAAGCATGACCATGACTCTTTAACACCACAGAGTACTTAAAATTCATGTATTCTAGTTGAATGAAGCGTAGAAAAAATTTAAGTGTAAGAAATATGCATTAATTGCTTACATTGGGAAACTGTTTTTCATTTCTACAAAGAAAATAATTCTAGGACTTCTGCCTTATAAATCATTTTTCCCCAGTATTGAGTGATGGTCTCTGAATCCATTGTTTCAGTGATTTGTAATATTTGGAAGAGCTAAACACCACAGGAAAACAGAAAGGGGTTTCACAACATTTGACTCAATTATAGTAGTTGTAATAGGTCTTTTACAATGCTAAACTTAAAATATGTTAACTCTGAAGCAAGGAACTGGCCTACTGGGTGAGAAAAGCACTGAAATATAGTTGCGTTACACACAGCCATGGAAATGGCTCTTCAAAATTCCCAGGTAGAAGAGGGTTGTTAATTTCCAAAGGTTTTATACATTAACACAGCATAACAGCAACTTTGTATCATAAGGGAGGGCACAACTGGCATAAAAGGTCATTAAATGCTAATAGACCTGTTGAGGTATGGTTGCTTAATGGAGGATAGGAGCAATATCCACATAAAGATCAACACACAGAGAGAATTTAACTCTGCAATATCTAAGGTAAGAAAGACAAAGGAGCTAGAAATAAACCCTTTCTTAGTACCAATCATTCTACGCTTACACAAAATTGGTTTATGCAATAGGAATGTTGACCAAAATAATGACAGATAGTGGTGAAAGGATGCCACTGACTTAAGGGAATCTGTAGACTGATTAGTTTACACATATGTTTTGTTAGGATTCATCTTCATGTAGTAGAATAGATCCTTCTTCAGCACATAGATGAAAAAGCAGTTAAGAAAGTGAGTTACAAAGTAGGAAGGGGAGTGTTGAGATAAATTATACGAAGCCTTTTCCAAGTGTCCACACATTTATAAAAAAGAGTTAAATTTCCTTTGATCTGAAGAGATTTCTTCGCACAGGTGCATTTACAACATATTATGTACATATGGAGCTTTCTTATGTACATGTGTATATGTACATACTATCTATACATCTCTGCAAGTGTATACACAGCTTTAACTCAAAGAAAATGAGTTAGCAATGCAATCATCATTGCCAGACAATCCAAGTGCTGAAAACAAATGATACAAATTGTTGACAGAGCTGCTTTCTCTCTCCTGTTGGCCATGGCTGAGGATAGAATTCCCTTCTGAAGATTTTACTTCCATTACAACACTGATTGTCATGGATAATCTTTGTGCTTTTGCATAATGCCCATCCTGGATGTACATATAGTCACATACAACATTGGACATGTGAAATAAGCATGCTGGAACACAGGCAGGACCATACATCCATGCACAGAGTATTCTGGATAGGATTTTCCAAACTGACGGCAACATCAACATGCACCCCTATCGTATTTGGTCCCGAACAGCAGGGAATGTACCAGCGGAAGTAGCCAGGGCAAAGAGTCACTTGCAAGAGTTTCTATACAGAGGAACATCCAGTGGAGAAACAAATGTAGAGTGAATGGAAGGAAGAAAAATACCCACCACCCCAACAGACAACAGCAACAACAAAAAGTTCTCCCACACATTATCACTGAAATTCTGGCTAGCCTCCTTGTTCCACAGGAAAGCAGGTCCTCTCAAAACTCCGAGTTGAGTTCTAGGTTAAGTGATGCACATTAGTGCCTCATGGCCTTCCCCAGCCACTGGAACAGCTCATCCTGATAAAGCCTTTTCCAATGCACATTGGCTTCCACGGTTTCCACGGCTCGTGAGAATGAGGAAGATGCTACCCCATCATAGGTCTTCATGAAGTTCTTTAGCTGGAAATAGAAATTGAACATGGTGAATCTACATGCATTAATGTGAATCCATGTAGAATATGCACGAAGAAGAAGGCACTTGAGATGAAGTCTCACATAGAAGCCTAGAACAAACTTGAACGAACCCTCTAGCTCTATTTGTTTGGAGTTATATTTACAAGGTCATGCACCCAAACATTGCATTCTTAACTTTCCACTGCCTTTGCTGTATAGGGCTAATGTGGTATTGTGTTCCCCCAAATATTGTGCATGCTAATAAACTTATCTGGAGTCAGAGACAGAGCAGCCATTATATGTTAATATATATGTTAATATAATATTAAACAACATTAATATATATGTTAATATAATATTAAACATAAAGGATAGGCAGTGGTAGCACACGCCTTTAATCCTAGTATTCCAGAGGCAGAAATCCATGTGTTCAAGGATACAGAGACAGGCATGGTGACTCATCATGCCTTTAATCCCAGAAAGCAAGCCTTTAATCCCAGGAGGTGGTGGTAGAAAGCAGAAACGTATATAAGGCGTGAGGACCAGAAACTAGAAGCATTTTGGCCTGGTTAAGCATTTGGCCTGGTTAAGCATTCAGGCTTTTGAGCAGCAGTTCAGCTGAGACCCATTCTGGATGAGGACTCAGAGGCCTCCAGTCTGAGGAAACAGGATCAGCTGAGGATCCAGCGAGGTGAGGTAGCTGTGGCCTGTTCTGTCTCTCTGATCTTCCAGTTCACCCCAGTACCTGACTCCAGGTTTGATTTAATTAATAAGACCTTCTAAGATTCATGCTACAGGCTAACATCTCTGGTATGTTGATGATGATGATGATGATGATGATGATGATGATGATGATGATAGGATTTACCTCTGGTACTTTTCAGGCCGCATTTGTTTAACCTACTGGGATTACTTAGGCCTAATCAATTGTCCTCTATATAACATTTTGATATTTTAGGACCAATATCTCTTCCCACATATCATGTTAACACTGGCATTTTCTGAACAAGGATCCTATGCAAAGCTATGAAGTGCAATTCTGAATGAACAACACACTGATCACATCACCGTTAAATGCTGTTCCTAACTTAAATCCTCCAGCCTGTCTACCCCATGTGTACTTTTGCTGTGGGATGTTCTGTATGTTAAATGTGTTGCTCTCTAGCTACATACTTCCAAACCCAGTCCTCAGATTTGTAGGTTTGAGACACTTGCCCTCATTTCTCCACATGTGGCCACCTTATGAATGATCTCTTTTTTCTTTATAACACCCAAACTTACATTTCATTGAGTGACATAGTGCTCCTTCATGACATGGATTGGATTGGTAACATCATCATGAGAGGAAGTAAATATACACTATAGTGGAACAAGTTTGAAATGAGAAGAAAGACCATAGGAGGTGGGAGGAATGCAAGAGTTAGAGGATCAGGCTGTAAGCATGCTCCAGACGAGACACAATCATTGCAATCATGAACCCACAGACGTTGCAGTTACTGGCGAATGGCCTGCAAGACCCTGGCCCCTTCATCAGTCAGTTACAAATGGAAGGGGGCTCATAAGCCCCTGCCCCTTACTGCTGAACTAATTGGTTAACGATTAAGTTGTCAAGAAAAACAGCCATTGTCCTTAGTTGTGTTAACTGCACTCCCCCAACCCCAGCAAGCCCACCAGGCTCCAGTGAAAAGTTGCAAAGCTGTAGTCATGCAGGTGCCCTTGGTCAAACTCAGTGGGTCAACAAACAAAACATAGAAGACACAGGGTGTAGGAAATTGATTTGTAGAAAAGAGGGGACTAGACAAGAGTTTGGGAAGAGAGGAGAGTCAGGAGTAAGAGTAACTACATCTATAAAATTGCAAAGAACAAATTTAATTAATAAAACCACATTTAAAACAATAGGTTGTATCTATGGGTGACATGCTTTACTCTGCAATGCAAAGAAAAAGGTATGTGGGCACTATAATTTCAGTTACTCCAAATGTAGTTTCTTGTTTTGTTAATAGGTAACTGTAGAGATTGGAGGAATCCTGTGTAAAAGTGTATTTTGACAAGGGCACAGACCCCAAGATGAATTGGTCCATAGTAAATTGGCAAAGCCATTATCCATATGGTCCTGGATCAAGAGGGATGGCAAAGCTTTTTTGGGGAGTTGGAGTGTGAGTGTTTATGAAAGATTAATTAGTGTGTACAAAGAATAGGGACTATGGCATTCTCCTTCTGGATGCTTACAGCCTGAGACTGCTTATATGTAGAGACCATCTATTGATACCAAGTAACCCCTTCCCTGTGCTGTACCTAATAATCCAGCTGAGATTCCAATTTGTGGTGGAAGTGGTAGGTAGCATAAGAAAACCCCTCCTGATCCCAGCTTCCCTGTATCTATCATTCCATATATATATATATATATATATATATATATATATATATATATATATATTTACCTTGCTGTCCATAGCTAGAGTTCTACGACCCAAGCCGCACAGAACACAGCAGATAATAAAATAATCTATTTAATTTATCTATTAAAAATAGGTTGGTACTTTGCTTCAAAGACCAGTTCTAATTACAAGGCACGTTCAACATAGCAAAGAGCCTCAGAAACTGAGGTTCACTTTTTTCTTTAAATAGAGAAAATTGTTAGTCATGTTCTCCTTTTTTTTTTTTCTTTTTTGGTTTTTCGAGACAGGGTCTCTCTGTGTAGCTTTGCGCCTTTCCTGGAACTCACTTGGTAGCCCAGGCCGGCCTCGAACTCATAGAGATCTGCCTGCCTCTGCCTCCCGAGTGCTGGGATTAAAGGCATGCGCCACCACTACTGCCCGGCTATTAGTCATGTTCTAAAAATACACAGTATAGGATTTAAAACTATCTTCAGTGTCAAAAGATTACCAAAGTAACTGGACTTTAGAAAAAAGAAGTTGTGCAACAAAAACTGGGTGATTAATGTGATTATAGCCAACCAAATAGATTTAGAAAGGATAAGGAAAAAAATAATTGTCCCATTTAGTCAGAGAATTTGAAGTTAAAACTTTTAAGAGCCAGGTGGTGGTGGCACACACCTTTAATCCCAGAACTCAGGAGGCAGAGGCACGTGGATCTCAGGCCAGAGTTCAAGGTCAGCCTGGATTACAAAGCCAGTTCCAGGATAGACTCCAACCCATCTCAAAAACAACAACAATAAAAAATAAATTTTTAGAGCTTTGTCATAATTATTACTGACAGACGGTCTTATTTAGGGAGTTCATATACCCTGAGAAGACTCAAGTAATTTTCTTCAAGATTAAACATCAGCAGCTTTACTTTGTGTTCCATGTGCCTTAAGAAACTGGCAACCAACCAACAATTACAGTGCTAACAGACAAACGTGAAAAATCAACTCGCAGCAAGGAGACATTATGTAGTGTAATTACTGTGGGGTGTGATTCATCACATAGAAGGTGCCACATGGAGGTTCTGCCAGGAGGGAGATAGAGGGCCTCAAGATGAGATCTGGGCAGGAAGACTGAGGTATGGAGGTGTTGAAAACGCAGTTCATTCTACATCTCCAAATTAACTTGGATTTTAGTTCATGGACAGCTTGGTTTGTTTATGATGGTGTCATTTGATTACTTGACACTGATGAACTTTCTGAAAGCTTAGCGATTGACAATGTTGGCAACGGAAAAGCCTATCACAGAACTGCAGACTTGACATGACATCAAAGTCACTGTATGTTAAAGCAAGCATAAGCTATCTAATGCATAACTGAGAATTATTTTATTGTCATAAAATCAATGTAATGTTTGACTAAAATTATAGATATTAAGAAAAAGAGGAATAATATGCTTATACCCACAAATACATGTACACAAATTATTTGGATTATTAGAAATTCATTAGTACAATGGTACATTCTCATTCACATATTTATGTTCAGATAGATTCTATGACCATTTGCAAAAAATAATGTGTTTTATTCCATTTTGAATTGTGTGATTTATTATAGAATATATCATAGTATACTAAATTAATATTACATGTCAATGAAAATTACACTCATTCTCCTCAAAACGTGTTCTCCATTATCATTTTGTTTCTAGGCATTCATTGAACATTCCAGATAATGATCAATGGTCCTTTGACAACTTCCCCTTACACGAAGATGCTCAGGTCTCTTCATGAAAAAAGCTGAACACTTGAAGAACACTAAACCACAGGCTTGAACATGATTGGATACAAAGTCAGATTATCTTGTAAGAGAACTCTATAGACAATGTAACTAGTGGATCTCCAGAGTTTCATTCTCAAATTATGATTGAAGTGCAAGAAATACTTCCCTTGTGAGCTCAGTGATCCTGAGGTGACTCAGACGTTGGATGGGGAGCTTAGGCATGAGAGCATATTTGACACACGCTCGGCCGTTGCCATAAATTGATCTTGTGGCCTGTATTCCTAAGCACTGCTTATGGAGAATGGGAGTTCTGAGCCGTCTCCCGGGTCCCTGAGGGGCTGCAATGTCTGGCTGAGCTTGCTTGTCTGTGCAGGCTCAGCATAGACAAAGGCACTTAGCATCCCTTCTGCTGACTTCACAGGCTCTTTTCTGCCACCATTAGGTTTTATCTTAATTGGGGTTTCAGATAGTAATCTGTCATGCTTTTATTCTGGATAAGATGTAGACGCTTTTCATAAACTAAAATTTAGTAAAATGTCAGTGTTGTTCATGCCTTCTGATTTTTCTTAGCACAATTTCTAGGTGAGTTTATTAATCTAGCTCTTAAATTGTGTTTAACATTGAAAACCATCTTGTTTAAGGGTATCCTCGACTCCAGCATCATAAAGTACTTTAAGAGAGAATTGCAAAGCATAATAGAATCTTGATAATCATAGAACTAAATAGAAGAAGCTATTGGTCTATTATGAGGTAAAAGACTTCCCCATTAAAGTTGTAAATGGAGTCTCTGTGATGGAGAGGATGCATATTCATTTATAACAGGGCTGTGTGTTATGTTCACAGAGGAACCAAGGACACTGGCAAAGTGTTCAATGGACATTTGTTGGAAAATTGCAAAGGTCTCTGAGGCTCTATGAGGTTATGTTTCTGCTAATGCAAAAATTAAGGAAAGAATGAATTGCTTCATGAAGGAATATCAGTCAAATTGGTAGTTCCACATAATTAAGAAGAAACTCCAGTCTCAGGTACTAGAACAGTTTGAGGGAAGAGCCCATAAAACAGAATTTATCTACTTAATAGACATTAAAATATTGAAGCTGATAAATTTTTTTTCAGGGACTGGAGAGATGGCTCAGCTATGGAGAGCATATTGTTTTTGTAGTGAACCCCAGATAGGTTCTTGTCACCATCCTCAGTAAGCTGAAACAGCTTGTAACTCCAATTTAAGGGGCTCCAAAAGCCTAGTCTGGCCTCTTGGGTGTACCTGGACTCGCACCACATACCCACATATAGACATACACAAATTGTGTAATTAAAAATTAAAAACAATGTCATAATTCACAAAGGTGCTGATCCCCTTCAGATCTACAGGCTTAGCAATAATAAATTAGCAATAACCTCAAAGGGAAGACATTGATCTTCCTTAACACTTTCTGCTTAAGAAAGGGGTGAGTGACAACAGCAATTAAATCCTAGCCCACCCGAAAAATAATATTCCCTACACCTGCAGAAAATGGCTAGGTGGGGAAAGTCTGGAAAGGCTTCTGGCAGAACAGCCAAACTGGACAGTGAGAGCAAGCAAGTCCACAATGAAGTGACTCATCGTTCATTCCACGGAGATTCTGCATTGTTCATTTATCCTATTCAAAGAGGATGAACTAAAATCCACACTTTAGTTCCATTTTTTGAAATCGCAACTTTCATGGTGTGGTAGCTCAGGACGTTAAAAATGGCAACGAATCAAAGAATAAAAATGAAGTAAGTGTAATGCATAAAGCAAGAAGGTTTGCATGTGATGAATTCAACTAAATCTCAATCTAAAACATGATTTTTGTGATGTTTGTATTATCAAAACAGGGAATATAAGAATGGTAGATAATGAAAAGAGGGATACAGGTGAAAGGGAGCCAGGAGATGAGAAGGAAATAGGATGAGCAGGGTAAGGGAGGAAAAAAAAAAGGACTTCTGAGCTCACTTCAATATTTGTGGGGGTTGTGGCTAACTCAATACTTTATTTCTTGATTATTGAATATTAAATCATGATATTAAAAACACTCAGCTTAAAGGTAAAAATAATGAAAGCAATTATAATTTGCACATGCCTTCTGTTTCCTACAGGTACATAAAAGTTCTCTCCATTTAGCTCCTTTCATTTAAAAAATTCTGGGATTTCAAAGTTAAATCTTCCAAGGTTGAGAACCACATATCAGGGAGAAAGACTGACATTCAAATTACTAGAATGCGAGCTTTAGCTCAGGACAGTACTCATTGTGACAGATCCTAAGTTAGTAAAAGGAGATGCTCTCGGGAAACTGAGCAATATTAGAAGATGTGACAGAGGTGCTGGGTCCAATGCTTATAAAGGAATGCTGTTCAGTGGGATCATCTGTGGGTCACAGCTTCCAGCTGTCTGTGAAAACTAATGAAACTCAGAATTTCTGTGCTAAATATTAGCTGTATACTGTGGAAGCAGAAGAGGAAAAGGGAGCACCAATGATTATAATCAAATGAAAGAATCTTTATTTTGTTATTGTTTTCCTGTGTGATTGATAGTCCCCATTTTATATCCCTCTCCAGTACTGAGAGGAGTTAATAGAGGGAAGGAGATACCTAAATGGCTTACCCATTGAGAGATATAATAAGAAATTGATAAGATAGATATTCCAGAACCTGGACACAAGTTCATTAAAAACTCAAGCTTATTTTCATTAATAAAATTAATTTGTAATGGAGCCAAGCAATCTATCTTAGGCAAACTATTGCTTTCAATGTGTGTTACCAGTAGTGATATTCCTTCCTACAATATGAATGCATTCTATTTATAGACTGGATAGCTGTTAGCAGGCTACTGTGTCTGCATAAGCACTCAGACTTTTACTGTGTACCTCAGCACGAAGCACAGTCCCTTCTGGACATGTAGTCATTGACACAGTTGTTATGAATAGTTTATGAACTGAGTTCACAGAATCATTTGAGAAGCAGTGTTTGGATCTAAGATCTCTGGAATTCCCCAGCTATGGAATTCATTACATTTGAACACTGTCCACAGCCCTCACCATTGTTCATAGTCATTCAATGTTTAATATGTTAGAGATCTTTTTGCAGGTAATTGTGTGTGTGTGTGTGTGTGTGTGTGTGTGTGTGTGTGTGTGTGTACCCATGCATACACATGCATGCATGTGTTTATGTGCATGTGTGTATGTGGGTGTCTGAATACATGTGTATATAGGGAGCATGCACAGGGAGCAAAAGGAACTTGTAGAGGCTAATGCAAAGAAGTAGTGGAACTACATTTATAATTTCATGTGTTTATTTAAAAAGATTGTAATAAGATTTTTACCTCTTTAAGTTCACCTTCTGTATTAAGAAATTCTGTAACTCCACTGATAAGTTTGGAATTCATAAATAATGCTTCTCCATACCTAAAAAAAATAAGAGAAAACAGTCTTAATGTCTATCTAGGTCATAATTTAAGAAATCTGGCTAGAAGGATTTTTGTAGCATTTCCCAAGGGTTGCATTTGCCAAGGCCATCAGTGATCACCAGCTCTCAGGGAAGTACTGGCCACTCTTCTCAGGAGGGAGGGAGGCAAAAGACCATTTATTGCCATGAGGTTCTATCAGGTCCACCTGGCCTGCTGCACAATGTTTCAGAGACCTCCGAATGTCAATGGGTCTGTGAAAATCCAGGCCTCTAGAATTGGATTCAAGAATTGTTGTTCTATTTGCAAGCCAAGACCCCAGAAAGGCATTTTTTAATGCTCTAGTATATAGCAACTGAGATCATTATAAGGATGATCTTACAAGAAATGAAGAAGAGCAAGACCAGTTCAGTCATAACCAGTATGTCACACAGATTCTGTGGTCGTACTAGATCTTGGAATTCTAATTAAGTTTCCGAAATCAAGGCAATTCACACACACACACACACACACACACACACACACACACACACACACACACACAAATCATAAAAGAGCATCAGTTGCTCTTATTATTAAATTATCTAGTTATCTAAATATGTAGTTATTAAAATATCTAGTTATGTATTATAACATATAATTCTTACACTATGAACACCATTTCTTGACTTATGGTCCCTGGACAATGTATATCTGTGAATAGAAATCTCTCACTTTGTTGATTTGCCACTACTTTGTTAAGGCCATCTATCACAGCTTTCATGCTTTTAGAACCAAAAATAACAAACAAAAGACTGAGCTTTTAAAGGCAAAGGCCCAATCATTATTACTAGATGCTTTCTTTTGCTTCCTCAACTGGCAGGCTCTTCAGTACTTTAGCTGCTGAAGGACTTAGTTTTATCATGTAAAAGAGGGGATCAAATAGGAGGATAGCCATGATGAGGAAAAGACATTTTAGTCAAAGCAAATAGATGGGCACTTGATAGGGTTAGTTTTCAGGTATAATCCTGTGGGAGACTTAACAGGAGTGGTTCTATTACATGTTAACATCAGATGAAAGGTGTGAGTTAAGAGAAATGTTTCTGGGAGAAATAGAAGCCATGAGAGCACATGATATCTAAAACCAGAAGGACCCTGTAAAGTGAGAATATAATATCCCAGACAGCCCTTCCCATGAGCCCTGATGTTCAAGAATCGAGAGGAAAATAGCAGCTGATAAAAGCACTCCTCCTGGTGAAGAGAAACACTACTATATTTGTAGACTGAAATCTCAGTCTTTCTACCTTATGAATCGTGGTCATAGGTTCTCAGGGACAAAATGAACATGCTGAGAAACAGAGAAAGAAGAAACAAATAATATGTGGATGGATTCCACTGAGCTCTGGTTTATAAAGCCAACGTAAGGTTGGTGTATGTGTTTAAAATCCTTTAAACTAAAATGTTCATACATATTAGTTTCACCTTACTGCCTGTTACATGACTCACTATAAATACAATGGCAATGCAAGCTCTAATCTTCCTATCATTCTAAGACATGAACTGAAAGCTCAAAAAATGTCAATGTGTTGTATAGCCATACCAGGGGCTTCTAGAAATAAAGTAGCTCTAGACAGAAACGTGTGTAACTGTAACATCACATTTCTGATGAACTTGTTATGCAAAGATAACTGATAAAAAGAGTGAAAAAACACACAATAGTTTTTACATCAGCTTTCAAGAGACCAAATGTTAGGTCTGCTTACTATCTGGGAAAAATTCATGGTGAAGAATTACATGCAGCATTTACTTGCTCCATAATAGATTTAATTTTAAAATACCATAGAGATTATCAGAGACATAAATTAGCATTTATTATAATATATTTAAATGCATAATGAAATATTTTCTAAAATTGAAGCTGAAGAATTCTCACCACGAAACAAGATATCCTGGGAATTAATTCTATTGCAGCTGGAATAATACAATGATCCGAGTGATTAATGAGTTTTCTCTGTGTCACTATTTTTCTGAGGTGTTTTATGGTATTTACATTTAAAGAGAATTTAAAACAATTCTACAAGAGTAAATTTCCTTGTTGGAATAGCATTTATATGTGATTTATGTTTTTTTCTATAATGTATACAGAATATACAAGTTTTATGAAAGGATTTCAACTTTATGCAGTTTGATGAATTTCCAAACAAAGTTGCCCTGCTGAGCAATTCTTACTCTCTCCATGCTTTCCCATTAATTAAGTTTATCAATCTTTATTAAATGAAGAATGTTAGAGAAGTGTTAAAACAATCATGAATTTCATGGAATGGCAACAGCTATCTTTGCTGAATATTATGAAGTCTAATTTTAATATTTGGTTCATAGCCCTAACAAAAACTTTGGGCATCCATCCCTCAACTACTGGTTTTCCTTTATTCATTCAAAAATGAATACATTATAATCTCTACCTGGTATTTAGTATTTTCCATTTGTCTCTGAAAAACTTCCAGGCAAGATCTCGGCCATGTGGATTTCTGGCTACATGGATTATGACATCAATTGCATCTTGATCCAACACCACCTCAGAATTCAGAGACAGGTTTAGAAGCCTATAAGATAAAATTGTGGGTAAACTTAAACAATTTATAATCGTAAATTTTTTAAAAAATCACAATTTATTCATATTCTTCAAAAATACTTGAGTTAAAACTTTCCCAATGAATAATTACCGAACAATTTTGGTTTAGGAAATGCAGATAAAATTTGTGGCATTTTCACAAAATACATTAATTAAACTCTAAGAATATCTATGGGATGGAAAAAAATCACAAATCGTATATGTTGTCACAACTCCAACTCAAATTCTTCACACTAAACATTTCCTTTTACAGTGAAATATTTTCTCAAATACATATAAAACTTTATAAAATAATTAGTTATAAACAATGCTGTCTTTCAAGTCAAGTTGATTTAGTCATCTTACCATGTAGGATTCCTCCTCTTTATAAAAAATGTGCTTCATAGGACCAAATTTTACAGTACCATATATTCAAGGAAATAAAATCAACTCTGGAGCACTCTAATTATAGATGGTAACGTTCATTGCAAAAATAACTTGGGAAATTTAATGGACTCACCTATTTAATAAATTCCTGTCATCACTGCAAGTTAGAGCCTCCAGTAATATCTTCTTCTCCGAAACTTCAGTAGTAGAGTGGAATTTCATCCAGATAAACTCCCAGACATCCTCATCCAGCAATGACACTCCTGTGCAGTAGACGATGTCTCTAACATTGAGTGGTATTCTAAGGAAGCAACCCATGGTGGTTATCTATTAATCAAAAGCTTCGTAGTTTTGAAAATAAAGGCCAATTTTGCTTTCCTACAGCCAACTACTTAAAAAATGATTTACCAATTACATTTCTCCTAAAACAGTGTAATACTACATTGCACTGATATGCAAATATATTGGTGACTAGAAAATAAAATAATGTCTTTTATTCCAAGGAAGTTTTGAATTTCATTTTTGTTTATGCTCATAAAATTATCATTAAACAAACTAACAACAAAGCCCAGTTAAAGCATCAAAAACATAAAGTCCTTTCTATTTTCAAAGGCATTAACTGAATTGCTATCTAAAAATTTGCTTTCATAAGGTATACACTCAGAAAATGACAACAAAGGTAGTAGATGGTGAATTTATTTGGATAAAAGTCAACCACTTCATTTTAAATTCTTTTTGAAAAACAATCTATTTTAAAAATGTAATGTGTATGTGTGAGGGTCTGAGTGTATGTAACTGAATCAGGTTTGTGCCAGAGCCTGGAGAGATCAGAAGAGGGCATCAGGTCCCCTGGAACTGGAATTACAGGTTGTCAGACCCTTGAGCTGGTTTCTTGGAATTGAACCCAATCCAAGTCTTCTAAAAGAACAGAAAGTACTTTTAACTGCTGAGCCATTGATCCAACACTAAGGGACTTTCCTGTGGCCAGTAGACAGGATAGAACTCATGACCTTGGTGTTATTAGCTCCACATTCTAAACAACTGAGCTAACTGGCCATTTTTACATTTTTATATTATTATATAGAAGTAATTTCCTCAAACATTACAAATATAGAATCATAAATTTAATGATAAACAATAAAACATAACTAATAAAGACCTTTCCACTATGTTTATGTGGTTATTATAAAACAATAGTAAACTATTACTTTGACTCCAAAATAAAAAGTCAGAGTGAGAAAAATTAGCATGAATTTAGTTATGCCTGGCAATTCATGAATTATAAATTTGCAAGTCAACTTTCTCACAGTGGTGTTCTATGATACACCACATTCCCTTGCTCTTTAAAATATTTGTCTGAAGAAATATTTGAAGACTTTTCACAAGTTGGAAAGTGTATATCTCTTTTTGTAATATTCATTAGTTTATTAGTTAAATTTCCCATTAATAATTTGAATGTGACCACACAGATTGTCCTCTCCAAGTCACAGGAAGAAACAATGCTTTTTAAAGATTCAGAACTTTTATTGTTAAACATTATTATGGATAAAGCGGTATGAGAAAGCAGAAAAAAGTCTGAGTGTCTACAAGTGTGGGGATGGGAGTCATTTCCAGCAGTTAAGAAGGGCTGCTCACAAGAGAGAAACTCTTTCCTGTAGTGGGTAGCCATTCCAGCTTGGATCTGGAAGTTCCAACCCCCATTGAGACTCTGGCAACTGTCACGCCTAAGAGGCGGGGCCAGGGGAGGCGCCTGGAGACCTGGATGGGAGAGCGTGCTATCTCTGTGCCAGGACCTTGAACAGTGGAGGTGGACCGAGCAGAGCTCCAGAGAACACCGCTAGATTGTGATACACCTTCCCCAGACCCTGTGAACTACCTTTCCCTTTTTGTAAGTTACCCACTAAATAAATCTTCCTTTAACCAAGTGGAGTGGCCTTAATAATTTCACCAATATCTGGCGCTCACTTGGGGCAAATTCCAAAGGCCTGGGTGGCTCCCGCCCTCTCCTCCCTGGCTGGCGGGTACCTAAACCCACCTGCAAAGTTCCATATAACCAGGGAACGCCTACATGGTTCCATTCTTGAAAAAGGGAGCAGCTAGTCCGGTCTCAATTCCCTAGCTTAGCCCCGAGACCAGAGAAAGAGGCACTCCCCTGCTCCCTGGCTTGCTCCCTGCCTGCTGGCTCCGGTTTCCACCATCTCTCACTCCAGCCAAGATCGCCAGCAGGCCCTGTTTTGGAGCTATAACAACGCCACCTGCTGGCTGAAAAGTGCTACTACATGCCCCCAAACCATGAAAGGTAAGTATATTGTTTCAAGTAAAGGTACTTGATAATTTTACACCTTAAAATTGACTAACAAATTTTGAGTAATTCTTGTAATATGGCTGACAACATTACCTCACAAGAGTTAAAGAACTTTTTTGCCTGTATGGTGAATGACATCTTCCTGGAAATATACGACATTCCTAAGGCATATCTGGCCTGTACCATTTTGGCATTCATCATAATAATTCACAGTGTTCAAACACTGGTTTAAGAACAAAGATGAGTCATTATTGGGACTGAAACAGGCTTTATAAGATAGCAATGAAGGCTTACAGAAAAAGATTCTCTTTCTAGAATCTGCTTTAAAAGATAGCAATGAAGGCTTACAGAAAAAGATTCTCTCTCTGGAATCTGCTAACCAGGATTTACAGGCTTTCAAAGACAGCAATGAAGGCTTACAGAAAAAGATTCTTTCTCTAGAATCTGCTAATCAGGATTTACAAAAAAGGCTTGTACCCAAAATTGATTTTATTGATAATAAATATGAATATTTAATGGATAGAACACTAACCCTACAGAGTGAAGTTGTGGCTACTCAGACAGTATATAAGGAAGAAAGATTATCATTAATTGGTAAGATAAGGTCCATGGAATCACGTGTTTCTGAGGAACATAAAAACTTCTGCTATGGGATGGTCTGTATGTCAAATTGCTCTGATTGGTCAATAAATAAAACACTGATTGGCCAGTGGCCAGGCAGGAAGTAGGTGGGACAACGAGAGAGGAAAATTCTGGGAAGTGGAAGGCTGAGGCAGAGAGACACTGTAGCCACTGTCAGGACAAGCAGTATGTAAAGACGCCGGTAAGCCACCAGCCACGTGGCAAGGTATAGATTTATGGAAATGGATTAATTTAAGCTATAAGAACAGTTAGCAAGAAGCCTGCCATGGCC